CCCCCAGTGGCACAGCGGTATGTCTGTGGACTTCTGACGCTAGAAACCGAGTTTCGATACCCGTGGTGGGCAGAGCAAAGATAGCCCATTGTGTAGCTTTGTGCTTAACTACAATATTCTGATATTATTCATTGAATAATCAACTCTTTTAGCTATTACAAAGTGTTAACCATTTCTAAACGGTGAACATGACAACGTATTCACTTTTGTTACAGACTTTTCAGCGACTAAATAACTATTTTTGAAATGTCTATTTTGCATATTTTGACAGATACACAAGATTTTTGAAATGTCTATTTTGCATATTTTGACAGATACACAAGATGCTTATAAGCAAAACCCTGTATTGAAAATTATTATATTCTTAAAAGCTGCTTCTCATAGGGGGATAGAATCAACAGAAGCCTTTTAGAATCATTAGTTTTATTCAGGAAAATACATGCATGAAAGAGTGTGTTTCAAACTATATGATACTGCATGATAAAATCGCTTTTCTCACAATCTAGTTTCTATTTTATTTTCTTTCTCCCATTTCACAATACGACATTAACTACTTGAATTATTTTCGTTTTAATGTGCTGTATATTGCGAGAATCAATAAGTACATTATGCTTACAGTACCATGCTGCTTGAAAATGACGAAAGCACACTGAACTCTTTTTGCGACAGTTTTAGAAACATCCTGTATCATCTCCAAATACCACACTTATATAATGCATGGTATTTAATAGTACCATTCCGCAAAAAATGTAGGGGTCGGACGTTCGCCAGTTCTTACTCCTGCCCCACACTATTTTTCCACTAAATCCATAAACGTCACGTTTCTATATGAAGCTGAGATTCAATCTAATTCCACATTCTCTTCAAATAAATCTACGCCTCTTATCTGACAGCATTGTGAAGCGCGAATCGTATATGAAAAGAATATTACCCCTCATGTCGTCGATCCACTGGACATGTTTTTGGCACAATGCAGCGACATTTTATGCCTTTCTATGAGTATAATGCATTTCACTGGGCATACATCTTACAGATTGGCCTTCTAACCGTCCGTACGCTGGCACGCAGTTACGAACATTTGATACAGTCTTGGAACAGGTACCCTACAATTGCCTCGAGCCACAATTACCAGATAACTCACGCCTGTTGGTGTCATGGATGATGCATGGTCTGCATTGTCTAGATATTCGAGCAACTGTACCATTGGTGTGAAAGTGGTTCATATTTTGCTAATGAAACTTTGAGACGTATGTAGCCATTTTGTAACAACTGGTTATAGTTAGCTCACTGGCTCATTTTCATTCTTCCGAACGATTCTACATATGAACAAAACATCAATATTTCTTCTTTAAGACATGGACATGACTTATGAATAATATGGAATACTTGTTTTTGTGTGAAACCACTATATATATATATATATATATATACATTATAATACGCTGAATGACCAATCATTTGCGTATCAGTTCACGTGACCGATCATCAGATACCAGGTTTGCCTAATAATCAGTTGAGAGTGCAGATTGACATTATTTAGCAGCATAGGCTTAACGTTATACATTTTGATTATCTTTTAATAGTTGTGTGTCTTCTATGTTAGACGCAGGGCTGTGTTCACATAACAGAAAGGCTTTATCAGTCAATCATTCATTTTTGGAATGCAACAGAAGAGAACAAGACATAGGTATATCGAAAAATTCCATAAGTTCCAGTTTTAACAGTTTCTTATTTATATTTTCAGCTGAGCTTTCAATCACTCAAAAACTATAGTTTTATTTTTTCTGTATATAATTTCATATTAACGCAATTACTTTTAGCAATGTACTCACGTTTGGATGTACTATAAAACAGAGTAATTGTTTATTGTTAATATAAGAAGTAAATACCATGCGATGTTAACATTTTGGTTGAAACTCTCGAGCTAAGACTTGTATAATGTTGTCCACATTAATGTCTATTTTTTCAAAAAGCTACATTATTGAAATATTTTTTATGTTTTACGTAAGTTCTGTTACCATTTTTGTGAATCGTTTACTATTTACTGTTTATCAAAAATAAAAAAAGGGAAGATAATGTAAATTTATAGGCCTCCTGGTCTACAGCTTACGCTTACTAAAACTTTAGCTCTTTTCAAAAATTAACTTATGTGATATTTTGCTACATTCTATGCCACTTTTTCGTGTTTCATACAATTTCATCTCGTTAAAAATTACCTTATGCCTTATTTATTTATAGAACATGTAATTCTTGGCTATGTCCAGTGTTAAAATTTATTTTATTCAAGAATGTTAAGAAGTACTATCAGGTATGTGCAATTTCTAAAAATACCCGATGGATTAATTTAGTAAACTGGTCAAATAAAAGATTATAGGTTGCCGGAAGTGTGGATGATTAAGAAATACGAGCTTCTGTGTACGAGATCTTTAAGTGAAAACATTCATGTGGACTTAAAATACTACTAAACCCTAAAAACGTATAACTCTTAGGATACAAAGACTGCAGAACCCCTCAAAGAATTATTTACATTGCATTGTTAAGCCAGTCAGCACTGGTATACACACATTTTACAGATCGATAAAAGCCACTTCTTCCAATTTCGAAGTATTGACTATATTCGGGTTTTAGGTTTACAGGTAAATAATACTAATGTGATTGTTTCGTTCTAATTGTAGGGATTTAGAGTAGAGTTATGAGTATCCACCGATGTCCACGTTTTGTAGTACGTTCCAGGAACAATAGAAGTGAATTTTGTTCAAACTGTTGAATTATTACAGAATAATTCTCTATGCTACAAAGCATTCTTGGTTTCAAAATAACAATATCTTAAAATGCTTCGTGATGTTAGAAAAACGCGTAGGTTCAAAGAGTCTTAATAGAAACGAATAAAACCTTCAACCATCAAGCAGAGTAACATGAAATGATAAACCACAGCCCTCCAGTCGTCATGAACAGACTGAACTTGTGAAACAAAGATTAAGACAAATTGTCTCAGACAGCTTATCGATCTTATTTCCACAGTTCAAGAAAGTAACCCTACAGTTTCTTTTTATTACTAAACAATAAATTCAATATAAATTTTCATGAAGTTGAAAAGTAAATTGAATAAGGTTTCTTAAAAAATATTTGGAGTTGCTCCCCTTGCTATTTATTTATTGCTACGGATATTTCGAAAGCCATTTTTGATCGTCAGGCTTTGTAAAAATGTGCACATTGTACATTGACTCTAAAATTTAATAGCACTAAGAATACTTGAATCATTTCTTTTTCATTACTGGACAAAAACTGAGGATACTGAACTTATTGATATTTTCTGGAAACTTCATATAGCTGTAGAATCAAAAATAGGCAAAACTGTTGAATGAAATTTTTCATACCTGTTACAGAGGTGCATAATGTTCAGGATAAAGCACACATTTGCTGTTTTTAATTCTGGAGAAGAGTAATAATCATGCATATGTTATGCTAAAGAAGCAAGCTATGTAAACAGAAAAGACTACAGTAATTTTGTTTCTACTTTTCCTTTCTTTCTATTTTGCTACATGACTACCGATTTGTTTGATATAAAGATTTGAAGTATCACACGTGCTATAAGACAATGTGCAACATATTTTACTTTTTACACCAGGAAAGTTGAAATGAGACGCAAAATTTGAGGTATGTGAAATAACAAAACCTACACGCTAATACGAACAACGTGAAATAAAACCTAGACGCTAATACGAACAACGTGAAATAACAAAACCTAGACGTAAATACGAACAACGTGAAATAACAAAACCTAGACGCTAATACGAACCTCAATCTTCTTGTTTCGGAAACATACTTGTACGTCTCTTAAAAAGTAATTTTTGGTTCCATATTTTGTCTTACTTAATACATTTTAACCTGTTCTTATAATAGGTAATTCTGATTGTAAAACAGTAGTCCTTATCGTTTTGTCTGAGCTATGACTTACATACAACAAATATCAAAACTGAAATCTTTAGCTAGTACTCCGAATATACTCAGTATTTAAGACTGGTAAATAGATAAATCCATAATTATTTTCCTACATTGTTACGGCCTTTTATCACAGTACACAAAATAAATGTATTACTTACTTGTTCACGATTTCTTGTTCAACAGAACCTACAAGAGAAAGAATAGGATTTAGAATCAATGCATACTTGTGTTATGTTTTAGAAATTCCAATATAACAATTTCAGTAATTTCAGGCAAAATATATTGTTCATTGTCGATGGACAGATGAATACGCTAGGCAAAATGTTCCAATTAATTCGTCTTTTTTCATCCAGTGGATTTCCTGTCTAACCTAAAACCGTATATACTAGTTTTCAGATAATTTCATGGAATTAAATTTAAGTTAAAATACATATTTTACTTCAGTGAAAAAATGGTATTTTTAAAAACTTTGAAAAAAAATGCTCTTGAACAGTTGAACTGTGATTTCTGTATATATCAGTGCACTAAGAAACCGTTTCTAGGGTTATTATACTCTATATGTAGTTTCTTTATTTATAGTTTTAGAATCCACTTCTAAGTTACAAGCTGTTGAAAATACGCCAGAATAACGTAATCTATCATTTTAACTTCCTTTTATAATATGTCGTACAATAGCTTCATATTTTCCTTTCAAACTAGTTAAGATAAAGTAAGATGTTTCCCGAACTGTCTTTGGATAAGTTCGAAAAATAAATAATGTAAAAAAATGTCTTACAATTTCTTTTTTTTTTTCGTACAATAATACCATAAAACTTTGTAAAATACTTGGTTTATGACGAGCACGCTGAACTTATTTGTCAGATGTTTAGTATACTCTGTGACACTGCTAAGGAAGGTGAGTCTCATGATTTATGCATACTCAAGTTATTGTGTCATAAATGATTAATGACTCTCTTTTTAAACATTTGCTGTCAAGTCATCTCAACCAAAAAGCCCTGATAAGAATCAAACCGTACCCTTCACAAAATTGAGCAACTAATTATTACTTGTCATGATCGGGCAATCACTAAACTAATACTAGCAATGATAAACCTGTTCATTATATTCTACCATTTATTAAAATTACAAGAGAGTCGTCGTCTTATGTAGTATGTTAACGTTATCAACATACTTGTACTCATGTAAATGAATACACATATCTTCAGTGAAGAAAAAAGTCATAATGGCAGTGTCATAAATCAAGTCAAACGATGATTATAACTGTTAAGGAGCTTTTAAAGATATTCTTGTGTCTTAGATTGAGCAATGTGTTTGCACAAGCTAGTAGAATGAAATACATTATAACATAATACAACCATTAAATTTGTTCATATACGCTCATTTTTCACTTAATAAACAGTAGGATCAATTAATTACAAAATATAAATATACAGAAAAATTTGTTATTACTCACCATTGAAGCAAAAAATAAGAACATGAAAGTGAAATAAAATGATTTGTTGTAAGAGCACGCACATTTTAACAGAGCAGGATATTAGTATAAAGTGTACTTACTGTTGTACTCTCTCTTCCCTGATGTTAAAGACGTAATATAATTCGAAAAATCGCTAAGACAACAATACACTTAGTACCTATAGGATATGTCATCAAATAATAATAAATAAGACGATTTTTTATCACATAAGTGAGAATTACTACTCTACAATATGTAGAGAACCTCTAGGAAAAAAAAATTAACAATATATATATTTACTCTTCAAACAGGAGTGAGTATTATTTTTCTTTCAGAAATGAAAATGTTAAAATAACTTTTGTCTTTGTTATTACGAAGTACAATATTTTAAGATAAATGTTTGTTTTAAATAAACAGATAGGTAAAAACGCTAGCAGCGATTTGGTTCGTGTTCTGTTTGATTTGCAGAAGAACACCTCTAGAATATAAACAATAAAATCGTCTTATTCACGAATTTGGATTTCGGTGGCGATTGAGATTTCACATTTTTCAAAATAACTGAACTAATTATCTTTATGCTATGTGAGTTTTGTCAGTTTGCTAATGAAATGCCTCAGCATCTGCAGATAAGATGAATTTGTTTCTTTGTAATTAAGCACAAAGCTAAACAATGGGCTATCTGTGCTCTGCCCACAACAGGTATCGAAACCCGGATTCTAGTGTTGTAAGTCCGCAGACATATCGCTGTGCTACTGGGGGGGCGATAAGATTAATAAATTAGTGTCCAAAAGTTAAAGAACAAACTGTGTTTTAAGCATTAACGATTTATTCCTTAAGTTTTGGACAGTAGTGTACTGGAGCCAATAATAACTTACATTACAGTTTCCATTATATAGATATATAAGACATAATAGTGTAGTGGTTTAATGCATATTTAAAATATAGATGGTTAGATTTCCCAAGTTCACAATCTATTGTCTAAGAAATTCTCTGTTTGTTTCTAAAATTCGCGCTAAACTGTCCCTCGTTTTTAAATGATAGACTAGAGGGAAGGCAACAAGTCAAAAACACCCACCACCAGCTCCTGAGCTACTCTAGTCGAATAGTGAAATTTGACCATCAATAAGTTTTAGGAACACACCGTCCCATAGTACGCCCCCCCCAGTGGCACAGCGGTATGTCTGCGGACTTACAACGCTAGAAACCGGGGTTTCGATACCCGTGGTGGGCAGAACAAAGATAGCCCATTGTGTAGCTTTATGATTAACTTCAAAAACAAACAAACCCATAGTACGAAGCGCATTTGTTCAGCAATGGAACACGAAGCATGAACTCTTGGATTCATAGTTCTGAACATTTTCTAATATAAAAATGATGAGCCATTTAAATGGATAAGTCTGCATTTTTAAAGAAGTTATTACGTATTGGATAATATTATCTAAAAATTAGGTGGAAGAGCCCAAACAAGGAATTGTAGCCTTTTTGTTTTTCATGTACTTATTTTTGTAGATTTAATTATATTCATTTAACATATCCGACATTTTTAGGATTAAGGCATAAACGCAAATTTCATATTTCTACAAAAGAAAATATAATAGCAAAGATGTGCAGATTGTTAGTAAGATTTGAGAAATGCAATAATACACGGAAGTATTAAATGTATCACTCAAACCATAAAAAAGTTTCGGAATTAATTCGTTGACATTTGGAACCGTTGTCAGATTTGTTGTCTTTATTATCGTCAAGCTGTGTTGATTGGAGCTGAAATAACACGAAACCCTCAATCTTCAGCTGGACATAGAATGTATTTTTATACAGTATTAGCTTAATGTGTTTCTACAGTTTACATGCTTTTTTATCATAAATGTTAGGCCTATTTGTTTCATTTTATGCTTTATCGTCTTATAAATTGCTTTATCAAAGTTAGTTTTGTTAAAATTTGTTACTGATTCTCAGATTTCTGTATTCAGTTCTTTCTTTTTCTCGGTTACATTCACCAGAAATGACAAAATTGGTAATCCAAGATAAGACTGAATATTTGTTTCGTTTTATGTGGGTCAATAACGATTTTTGCAAAAACATTAACGCTGGATATATTTTGATTCCAAAAGAAATAAAGGACATTCACTCGCCTATTTCTCATTCAGGTTAGATTTGATATATCTAAATGCTTGATTAAAATTAGAAGATATATACTAAATTAACACATATAAAAGGGAAAAATAACAATATCTTATATCTTTTATTTTTTGAGATAATAAAAGATTTCGTTGTTAGTTGTTAAGCACAAAGCTGCACAACTGGCTATCTACTCTTCCCACCACGGATATGGAAACCCAATTTGTAGCTATATAAGCCATTAGACTTACTGCTGAGCCATTGAAGGGAAGGCATAACAAAGGATAAGCTTGTTTGATTTTATGAAGCTCCTATAAAGTCTTAGCATAATTGTATCTATTATACAAGTAAAATGAGCGATTTCTTAATTTTAATACTGACTATATTGTATGAAGTTGAAATGCGGGGATTTTGAGCATATAGGCCTTAAATGCTGACATTACTTATCTAAAGTACCATCAAATACTATATATGTATATATATATAGTTCTTATGCCTTCTATTTGTTCCACAGGAATTACTGTTAACAGAAAAGCTAAAACAACGTAAGAGTAAGGAACTGTCGCTAAAATTATATTATGGCATTAAGTCTTGTAGACATGAGTGACGCGTAGGTTTTTTTGTTTAGTTTTTTAATACCGGACGGAATCCATTAACGATAAGCTGTGCCCTATTAATCTGTGCCAAATCATGATGGAACACCAAATCAGTTTGCTACGAAAATTAACATTTCACTGTGTTGTGACGTAATGAGAGTTCCCTGCGAGAAAATCCTTTTCGCAACTAGGTGGTTCATTAATTGACATGACACTCCCACAGCTGCTATACATATGCCCCAGTAGGAACATAATTCAGATATGTTTTAAATTAGGTTTCCCCCTACGGAGAACTTCTAATTGCTACTAAACAGATGAATTTTACTTGCTCTAGAAAAATCCCCGGAATGAAAGAGATTAATTCTGAAAGTCGGCTTACCCAAACCAATTGGATCATTAATGAGTTTTATCTGTTCCTCATCAGAGGGTTTTACACTTTTAATAGTAATCCCAACAAAGAGATGATTAGATGAAGTCACTAATCAAGTCGTCTCCAGCCATCGGGTTCCTACTAGCTCAAAATAAAACGACATTAGAAATTATAATAACCATTTATTCCCAATAACTAACTATCTCCATCTCAAAGAATTATAGCTTTCCGAAGTATGTTAAGTGTTACTTGCGAAACTAATATACTCGCCAAACATAAATCCTGGACTAATAAGAAAGTGGTAAGATAACTAAACCAGTAATATTTCATGTTGAATTATAAAACTAAACAACGTTTGTTCCATATGAGTCTGGTTTTGTAGTTTTTTTTTTTTTTTACTTTAAACACTCAAAGATACAGTTTAACAACTGATTTTCTCACAGCTGTAGAATAATTTACCATTTTATTTAATTTTGTTATTGTGCATAAAAAGCTCCAGGTATTACGAGAAGGGAATATATATCATGGATTAAAACTTTTCATGTACACGGAATCTTTCTTTCAAAACAAAAAAACCATCGATATGTTTGGGGTCCGCGAAAAGCAAAAAATTAAAATTGGTCCTCGAGTTACTAATGTTTGAGAACCATTGATATAAAACATAAATTCCTACGTTTAAAAGTTAGTTTCTTTAAATGTCAAACTTGTTTCTTACTGATACACATAGATCTTTAACAGTTTCATAATCGCCCCCCCCCCCAGTGGCACGGCGGTATGTCTGCGGGTTTACAATGCTAGAAACCGGGTTTCGATACCCGTGGTGGGCAGAGCACAGATAGCCCATTGTGCAGCTTTATGCGTAACTTCAAACAAACAGTTTCATAATAATGAGTTATATTATAGAATTTACACTATTTATGAGGAGATTATTTATTGAAAGTTACCTTTATCCTCTTCTTGGCTCCTAAATCTCATTAAGACGACAATCAAAACAGCCATTAACACCAGAGCTCCGACTATTCCAATTAAAATTCCCAACACAGGACTGATGACCGGCCTTTCAATTTTTGCTGATTAAAAATCATATTATGTTACATACACACTATCTACCAAGGAAATAAACGTGTATGTTTCTAGTTTATTTCATACAGATACTTTTATTTACGTATTGTTTAGTACATTGTAAAAAGAGTGTTGATGGAGTTCAGAAAAATATATTTATAATCGTATATAATTATTTTCTTATTTCATTAAGCTGTTTCTTAACATGTTTTATATTATCTTTCTAAATATTACAAAAACAAGTTTAATATAAATTATTTCAAAAATTATTTGTTTTTAGAACATGTGGATACTTTCTATTTTTATTAAAGGCCAACAACTTCAGTTTATTTAATAATTTGTATAAACTTATTATTTTATTTGTCTATAAAGGTTGGATTCATCGTTTCTATATAAACAAAAATGTAACGTAAATTGTCATTTGATTTTTAAGGTAAATTTGTAGATATTCATCCGACATTTATAATTACGAAAACTTTTCACCAGTTCGTTTTTCCGGAGCCGGTAATGTCGTTGCTGTTAGTGCGACGGAGTGGCTTTTACCCTTAGAATTCGAAGCGTAGATAGCCAGAATAAAAGTTGTCCCTGGTGGAAGATGGTTAATATCAAATGTCGGAAAATCAGTTCTGGTTAAATTTGCCTGTAATTTTTTCAATGGAGCATTGAAAACTTCCAAATGAAACATCTGCTTTAATCCGCCATTATATCCAGCTTCACATTCTATCTTAATGCTGGTTATCGTTCTGTTTAAAATTCCACAGTTTTTGACCGGATCCGGATGTCCTGAAATAATTTGCATTACAAATGAAAATTCAGTAAGTGCTAAATGTCTACAGAGTATTAAAGCTAGTTGTTTCACAAACCTACGAAAAAATAATCATAAGGAAGTAAGTTATTAAAACGTTTAATAACAACAACATTTTGATATTAAATTAATATCATGGCAGATCATTGGTGGCTGAAATATGTAAGACAAGATAATATTATATGAGCCATTTTCCAACTGTTTAATAACAAGCCAGCATGTGGTATTCCATAAAGTTATTTTTATGATTTACTCTCTCTCTTTATATATATATAAAACAATTACAAAATTCGTTATTGCATTAGAGCTTGTTTTAACAAATTGATGAATTCGTAAGTGAACTGTACTATAAAATCCAAGGTAATAATTGTTGTTCTGTCCATTTTTACATCTTTCCATACTGAAAAAAAAGTTTTTGAACACTATACTTTCCTGAGATCATTAATATTAGCTTTGGATCAGAACAAGCTATGTAATTAAAGCGAAACTAACATAAAATAAACTTGGTAATAAGAATGGCTGATTAAATACATTTTTCTTCCGTTTCTATTTATAAAGATTAGAGCACAGTTTCTCATCAGTTAGGTACCCTTTCTGTTGGCGATATTTTCGTCCTTAATCCCAGTAATATCTCATGAGGTTCCGCTAGCTTAGGAGATTTAGGTTAGTCCTAAGTATACATATTAAGCTAACAGTTCTAAACAATCTTTAAAATAAAAGTATCATAATAAATAATAAACCAAAATAAAATATAATGATATTCGATATGCTAAATAGTGTACTCAGTACCGTTAATGAAAGTAACAACAAATATATAATATAGTATACTTTACTTAGGGAAACTTAAAAACACTTGTTGTCGGCTTAAACTACCGATGTAGAATTATCATATCGGCAAACATGCATTATAAGTGCATTTTTAATCCTTTATTTTCCTGCAACTAATTCCTAAAACAAAAGCAATGCCTCCAATATTATAGATTAAGCATACTAATCATTCCCATACATTGAAAAAAAAATTTTTTTGAACCCTTAACACTCACATCCATTAACAATGTTTGTTGGACCAAAAAATAATTTAATTATTCAATACGTTTATGATTTTGTTACAGTATATGCAAAGAATATCTTACCCACTCCCGATATATATATATATCGTGCCTTAGATATAAGTCGTGCATCGAATAAATAAAATTCGCAGTTTTCAGTGCAGAATGATATATGTAGAAAGGAACTACATATATGTTCCCCCAAAAATCTGTGATAAAAATATTAGACATTCTTTGTTTGCTAAAAAAAAAAATCATTGTAAACTATATTATTCAAGACAGATTTAATGTAATACTGAAGCCCATTTGAAATGCATACCTGCGGGTATGATACTAAAGTTGCAAGGCTCTTTCTGCTTTCCAATTTCGTTTTTTGCCCAACAGCTCAAAACACCATAACCGTATCTCGTTCTTGGCTTGTACGTAGCTTCACTGACTGTTTCGTTTGTTGTGAAAGAGTGCAGCTCAATCCGTTTAAACGTATTGTTCAAAAACCAGTAAAAAGTAAGATCAGCAGGATCGGCCAAAACTTCGCATCTGATATCAACGGACTCCAATCTGGCGACCCCATAGACGGTTTTCTGACCAGGTTTGCAAATAGGAGCGTCTGAAAAAAAAAAGAGAGAGATGAAAAATGGATTAAACGCCCGAGTTTGATGATAAAACTCGATTTGTTTGTTTGTTTGTTTGTAAATAAGCACAAAGCTACACAATGGGCTATTCTAGCGTTGTAAGTCCGCAGATGTACCATTGTGCCACTAGGGGGCGATAAAACTCGATAGGATATTGTGAGAAATACATTCTCAGCCGTGAAATAATTCAGTGTATATAAACTGAAATTTTAGTTTTTCAAAAACGTCAGTACCAGTAAGAATCGGTGCTATGAATAATTGTCATAATAAGTTATGTATAATCTGTTTATGAGCAAACAAGCTTTTGCGATAATTTTTTTTTTCAAAAAATAAAACAGGGTATTTTGTGAATTATAATATCATAAATTTCGATGAATCTGCTTTTGTATGTTCGTAATCCTTTTAGAACTTGGTGTGTGTTTGGAAACATTATAAGTTATTTCAGATGAAAACATCTTATTGACATACAAGCATTATATAGTTGGATAGTAAAATCTTGGCTCACAGCTGAATAAATAAGAGAAAAAAAAAAGATGTCTCGCCCTAAGATCACTTACAATGAACACGTAGCATTATTTCTTCGCTTTCAGCTTCTCCTTCAACGTTGGCTGCGACACATTGATAACGCCCCCTTCTTTCTCTGGTAACTTTCTGCAACACTAATGTTTGGTTGCTGATGATGATACCCTCTTTTGTCTTGCTGAAGAGCGGCTTACCTTCAAACCGCCAACCAACCTCCGATACCCAGGGATTAGCTTGAATGTTACAATCGAAATACACGTCACTTCCCTCTCTAATGGCATCGTGATGTATATTTGCTCCTAACGAAAGCCTCAACTCGGGAAGATCTGAATTAAAAATAAACATACAGAAAATGTTTCACGTGTAACAGCTTGTAGCCGTATCAAATGTTGAATAAACATTTCGCATATATAACTTGTTTTTTTTTTAATTGTGTTTCATTTATTAAGCTCCCGATTTATGGATACTAGTTTTATACTATCATAAACACTATTTTTTTTTAAATGTGTTCGTAAAAATTTGACACAAAATAAACAACCAACTAATGTAATATGATGTAAATATTTTTAAGTGCTTATCTCTTAGTTCTAGAATTATAATACTTAATTAAGATGATACGAATTAAGATGAAATTTATAAAATTATGCGTATATACTTATAGCACTGTAGAATAGAAGTATGGATTTATTATAATGGACATAGTTAAAATATAACTGCTGAATGGCTATAACCATTCTTCTCATAAAACACTTCCCCAATGCAAAATACAATGCAGCTATTAAAAGAATTATCACAAACACATTATAAGAACTTTCCCAATTTAATAAGTTAGAAAGGGTATTTTACGTTTTGAATGAGGATATTGTCTGGAATCTTATATAGTTTTCCTACATGCATATAGAAACATCTCATAATTGATTATTGTGCCTTTGCACGATATTAGTATGTATTTTCGAACTAAGAGCTAGTTTAAATTAGATTTATGAGTTAATAGAAAAAACAGATATAATAAATAAACGTGTATTTCTGCAAGTAAAAAATAAATAAACGTATATTTCTGTAAGTAAAAATAAATAAACGTATATTTCTGTAAGTAAAAATAAATAAACGTGTATTTCTGTAAGTAAAAAATAAAGAAACGTGTATTTCTGTAAGTAAAAATAAATAAACGTGTATTTATGCAAGTAAAAAAATAAGTAAACGTGTATTTCTGCAAGTAAAAATAAGTAAACGTGTATTTCTGTAAGTAAAAATAAATAAACGTGTATTTTTGTAAGTAAAACTAAATAAACGTGTATTTCTGTAAGTAAAACTAAATAAACATGTATTTAGTAATTACGCTGAGTATAAAAGTATTATTTTCATGCCATGTAATATAACTTAAGAATTTAGAATTTCAAGCGTAAAGATTGTTTGCATCATACGAAAAACAGATTTTAAGAAGTTATTAACAAATCTATAGTACAGATGTATATCTAGAGAGAGAGGGAAATGAAAGTGAAAGAAAAAAATTATAGAAATATTTACCGATGGTTTACTTATTATTATTTAACAGAAAACTTTGGTAAGTTATCGTAAGAATGCACATCTGTATATAACAAATTAACAAAGCAGCTGATAATATCTTATTCTTTTAACGGGCTCACATTTTTTTCACCGAGTAGCTACCTAAGTAGTTACGTGAGTGGATTCTAATTCTACAGATACCAACCACGCCATACCAATAAGATAAAAAAAAAATCACATTATTCCAGAAAGTGCAAGTTTTATTAGATTTGTTCGCTCACAGTTTTGTTGTAAAGTAAAACCAAATATAACCATTCGTGAAGTATAACCTTACATAAACCTTTCTTTCTCGATCACATAAAACTCGCTGGATTTCACGATACACACGGTATTATTCCTTAATGTTATAATGTGCGTTATCATAATGCGAGGAATTTTGGTTTTTATATCCCAAAACTTGAACAAGTAGCTCAGAACATGCATTATTACTTGATAAGGTTATTTAACATTGCGAACAGCACTCTATAAATGGGGTTTACGTATTTCTATTGAGGATAAGTCGAGGATTACCTACAGTTTAGTTAAACGCGAAAGTATAAAAATAAATAAATAAACTAGACAAATAAAATGGTCAGGGAATGCTAAAGTTCTTAGATAAATTTCTAGATTACATGATATTTATATTGTATTCTTCGTACTGAAACGGTGTTATAAAAGAGGAGACGCTTTTGTACATGTCTGTCTGCTGTTTACTTTTCTGACGATTCTATTATTGTAAGTAAAATTATTAAAAATAACCGTAAGTAGCTCCCAAAAACTCTTGAGGTATAATTACTTTCTACCAAAATATAAAACGCTTGACTTATTCCTCTTTATTTTCCTATGTTATTTACATAAAATTTAACTCTAATCTCATGAATAAGATGTCTTTCTGTTATTAAATTGCAAATTGATATTACAGCTACGAAGAAACAAATAGTTTTGAAAATCGTTATTTGAAAGGAAAGTTTCGAAAATATGATACTCAGTAAAATAATCGAATACTACTGGATAGTAAAAAATTATGTTTCTGTATAAAATAAATGTGTGCATGTAATGTTGGTATTTGAAAACCACACTTACAATAGATGGTAAGGATCCAGCCATCTTCCAAGGCACTATTTGGAATAACAGGGTTATCTGCTTGACACGATAGATACTTTCCATGATCGTGTATCGTGGGTATAAACGTAAGCTTGCTAACTGTCATGTTGTCATAATTCGATGATGTACTGTTGGACATTTTCTCTCTTCCTTTCCACCACAGAATTCGTGAAGGTGGTCGGGAACCACTAGACTGACACACTAATTCTACCTTTTGGCCTGCCGATAGTGGACGCTTCAAGGTTGAAATTCGGACTTCCAGGGGCTTTACTGGCAACAGTTTATTAGAAAAAAAATTATCATTGGTAATTTACAGAAAACGTATATTACATTGGCCACATAAAGTCAGTAGGAACTAATTATAAACGTATGTAACATAAAATGGAAGATTGATTGCTGTATGTACCAAACAACTTGACTTACTTTTCGAGAATAGTGTATCATGACTGCGTTTTCTAAAATATATGAGCTTGCGTGTATATTACTCATTTGTAGTACACATGTAGTACACATTTATAGTTTCAGGTACTCTTTATGCATTGATATACTTAACTGCAGGACTGGGGATTAAAGTTACATTCATTTTTGCATGCTGTTATGTATTTAAAGTTTTACCATGTGTTCGATTTTAATAAAAGGTAGTTTCTGAGTTTATGATAGCACGTCTAGTGTTGTGCCTTAATTTAATAGTTAATGGCTCAGAAGGGGAGCTCTCAGAGTCCTGTTGTTGATCATTCCAACATGATTAACTTCATAATAATTAAGTTAAATGAGGCTGGTGAGTATAGAATGAAAAACTAATAATGGATAACTTTCATTTCTGTCATTTTCAATAATGATAACATATATGTTTTATGAAATATTTGAGGTTTTCTTCGTCACATACTTCTTCAGCAGTATTTATAGGAAAATTACTGTAAATATATCTTATCAAAATCATCGTTAAAAAATATATGAAATAACAAACATTAGAGCATTGATAAAACAGTATTATATATATATAGATAATACATAAAAATACATCAAATATTGGTGCATTCATATTTTCAAAACCCGGACAGACCCTTGACAAATTTCAAGTTTTGTTTAGTGTACTGTATTGAATTGTTTTCGGTTTGCACATAATAAAGATGATAGATAACAGAAACGCATAATATATTTGTAGATAAGATATTTTCGATACTTATTTGCAAGACATAGATTGAAAAAAAATATATTTAGATTATAAAGTTATCCAAAAATTGATTTTACTTATGTAATTTAGTTTTAAGATCTTGACTTTGAAGAAATCACGGCTTAAATGCTGTCTGATCTATCTAGATATAACACAAAAGATTACAAGATCGAATTACCTAAGCTTGGTTCAAAACAGGGGGGAACAAAATACTATCCTCTTAGAAGTTGCGAGCAGTGATTAGTCTGTAAGTTATACCAATTTTAAAATCCACCCAAAAGCAAAACATGTATATAATTCTGCTTTAAAAGTGTTTCTGTTTTGCTTCTAATTCACTTAAAAAATCGTCATTGGATAAGCTGAACGTATTGAAATGTAGTGAATTAGTAGATTCAGTTTTACAGCACATGAATAAAATGATGCAATGTGAGTAATGTCAAGATGCTTTAATTTGCTGTCTTCATCAAATATCACCTATTGTTTGAGCTAAAGCGGAATTTTGGCTTTTTTTTGTTTTTGTTTCTTTTTTGCTCATACCTTTTTTTTGATGGATTTCACGTATTCTTGTGTAACAATTAAATCCAAAACACACTGCAATCATTATTGTTTAACTAGATCTTTAAAGGGAAGAAACTCATACAGGGAAGTAAGATGTAGTCCATGATATTACTAATGACAAGAACAATGTAACGTAGATTACGTGAGATTAGAAAGTGTGTTACCTTTAACGATTACAACGTCTGAGAAAAAGCCGGAAGCAGCAATGACAACGGATGCAACTTTCGTTTTAAATGGAGTTTGGGAACGAAAAAACCGGATAAAGGAGACGAGAGCTTTTTTATTATTTCTTGATATACCTTCTTATTCACCGTTTATATGGCATGTTTTCAAGAATAAGTATGTATATAAAACCAAAAGTAGTGGATAATGGTATTAGCAGGCTGAATACATTTCTTCGTGCTCCTAGTGACTGACAAGTTAACGATCTGCTGGCTGTGGTCGCTAGGTGCTCGCGTTGTCAGTGCTCAGTCCAGTTTTCGCTACTGCACTTGGCTTCCCTTAGTGGTGAATAATGGGAAAATTCAAGTTATTTTGTTAGCCAATTTACATTTTTGACAATCAAATACTTCAAAAGTGTTCACACTGATCTTTTCTCTTCACGTTCATTCTAATAAGAAAAAATACTTGCATCAATGTTTTTGGCTGCGGCATAGCGGCTCATAGAATGGCTCTGAGTTGTTTTTTTTCAAGTGCAACCTTTTAGCCCATAGCTCCATCTCTTGAGTGATTTAAGATCTAATTACAGCCACGACCATTGAGGCTTCCCTCTTTTATTGGTGTACAAACATTAGGGGTACTGAAAATTCTAAAATTTGCTATTTTTAATTTTGGAGAAGAACAATATATATATACATATCTTATGCATAATGAGCAAACTATGTGAACAGAAAAGAATAAAGTGCTTTTGTTTGTTCATTTTCTTTTGCTTACTTTGGCTACAAACATACCTTTTTTGTTTGATCTAAGCTATGCACAAAACTCAACCATCAAAGTTCCTGGATTACGATTAAAGATGCTGCATTAACGAATATAACGAAGCATTATATATTATCCTTATCCAAAGCATTATAATCACAGCTATGATGAATAAAGAAATATGTATTATTCATTAAAAAAAGGATGTAAATGTGGAGACAGGTTTTCTTCATTACAAAATACGTCAATAGTATTACAGGAAAGCTACCGTAAATCTATTCTGTAAAAATTGTCATGAAAAAAACACATCAAATAAGAAACTTTAGAGCATTAATAAAATAGTATTTTGCCACCTATTGAATAAATCGTTATTGAATTTGACTAGGTATACTCCAAATAAAATATAACGTTATTATGACAGTTGTTCATATGTCCATGAATATATGTAGGACGAATGTATTTGTATATTTTTGATAATATATTTACGAAACTTTTGAAGTGACAAGCCTTTTTTTTTCATGATATACAATTTCATATTTGAAATAGTAAGTCAAAAGCCAGAATATGCCAGTTGTGAATTTTCTACTAGTTATATATATAAAACACACGTACACATTAGTCTAGAAATGAAATGTGAGAATAATGACAGATAGTAATAACATTTTAACGTTCTCTTCTTAAAAATAAACATTAAACGCTACTAGTGTTTTGAATTAATTCAATCACTGTACTGGTACGTTTATGATTACATCTTAGCCAAATCACATGGCCTCCTTCCTAAATTAAGTAGTCCTGTCCCAGCATGATTGTCAGTGTAGTCCATGCAGCGTGACGCTGTCCCTAATATCGAACCACCGACAACAGGGAGTCAGCTACTTATTGCTATTTTCTATATATTGCTTTGGTCTTAATTAATTAATTTTAACTTGATTTAATTACTTATTATTATTATTTATTATTTTACACCAAGTTTCACATGTAAATCAGAGAGAATTGCATTTTTAATATAATGAAGTGGAAATCAAAACTCTTAATCGCCGTTCGAAAATATAAAAACAGGGCAAATATACGCAAGCCCTGGTATATTCCTCGCACAAACTAAGTAAATTAATCCAAGTTAGCCATTGTATTATGAAAATAATTTGAAAGTAATTATAATACTTCCAAGACCTTAACAATAATATAAATATTTACACCCTCAGCCCTTGAGAACACAATCTCTCTTTAATTTAAAATAATCTAATTTAATATATTTTATAAAAGAGTGAAGTTAGGTATTGTGCATAACAGTAGTCAGACCTAACCCATTTGTTCCATATTGACGTCTTAACAATTAACGAATAGTTCTACTAACTTACTACTTAATGTGAGTGTAAAATAGGAATGCTATCTCCCTGACACTATAACAACAAGGAAAACAAATGTAAACGTAATTTAGTATTAACAACTTAGCATAAAATATCGCAATCTAAGTAAATTATTCCATGTTGACTGTAACTCGATATTGATTTGTACATTCGTAAGAAAGCAAGAAGAAGAGTATTTTTAAATAACAAACACAATTCTGAAAGCTTAACTTTCAACCGTTTTTTACTTTTCAGCGACCTCTTATGTTTAAAGAAAAAAATAAACAAAACTCACAATTTAAATCTAATGTCACTGATTTGGAGACTGGCAAGCTAAGGTTTGTATTGGAAGCTTGGCATGTGAGCAGTGACATTAAATGGTCCCTATGGAGGCGTTTGATCAACAGTGCATTCCTTGCAATTCCTCTTGTGGTTAGGCTGTAATTATCATCCAGCAGAGTTGAGTTTCTCCACCAAGTCACAGCTGGAGTTGGATCTCCTATATAACAAAAAATTAACTTGCATACCGCTGTTTTCTCAGTTTTAAACTCATTTTGCTGTTCTCTATTAAGTACAAAGCTACACAATAAGCTGGTCATGCAGTGCCCTCAGCGAGTGTCGAAACCCGATTTTTGGTGTTATAATCTTTCAGAACCTAACTGGGGATGATTCGCAATATGGAAATATGTATAAATATTTCATTTTTATAAGAAAAAAAAAGAACCGAGTTTTTAAGATATACTGGAAGTGTTTAAAAAGTTGGGTGGAAAAATGTATTTCCTATGCTATTTTTGATAAATTTGTTTTCTTCAATAACACCAGGAATAAACAGCGAAACGTAAATAACATAAAATTTAGAAATAAAGCTTTGAAAGTGAAAACTTATATTTTGGACAAAGTAATTGCAATTATAACTTTGCTGCAATAAATGTATGAAGAAAATAATCATCAACTGAATTTAGATCAAATGTAAGAAAATGAACATTATAGAATATAACAATATATATATATATATGTTTAACATGCAGGGAAAACATGGTTATTCAGTTTGAATAGCTATGCTTTCAATAAAACAGAACGTATTACGACAACTGACTAAAGAGCAAGCAAGCTATATATGTAAGACGAATGTATTGGAATAGATTTGATATCTTTATGAAACTTTCTGAAGTGGCATGTTTTTCTTTTCCTGAAATACAATTTCATATTTGAGAGAAACATACACGTAGCTTGATTAGTATGAGATATTGTTTTCATATGTAAGTTGAACATTATATGGAGGTTGATGAATACGTTATATTAAAATAACTTGCACTCTAACTACGTCGTAACACTCCATGTCATCATGTCCTGATATGCTCTACCTGACGACCGTACAATTTGCTAATATGTAGTTTCCATTCGAAAAATGGGTGTCATGTTGAAAGTATATCAATATATATACCACCCCTCCGTTTCAATAATACGATCGCACAGAAATCTATAGGTGACAAATCTGAGACTTGATTAACATATGAAAACACAGTTATGGGTAAATACGCTCAACAATCTTCCTAATTTTCTTTATCACAATGAGCTCTATCTCTATATAAATAAGTAGAAACAACATCACTAGCCATTCTGGAACGACTTTTCTTTGGTCAAGAATAAAAGGTGTAAACTTTAGCATAAAAAAGAACCCCTTTATCTTGCTATCTGCTTATTGGTTTTAGGCTCGAATTTGGTGTTCTTTTAAAATGTTTAACAAATGTTTCTCTAATATTTAAAGAGTATGTATATAAGCATAAAATAATTATGAATTTCTAAGTATAGACCAACGAATAAAGTATTGCGGCAATACTAGATAGTTTATTACGTTCTAAAATAGCGATTTTCAATATGCTGTTTGGGATTCAGTTGCAAATTTCATAGATGATCTAAATTAAGGTATTGTAAAAGTCCTAGTACTTCATTTGGTTTCGCTAATTACTGAAAACCTATCTGTTTACATGTATACACATACTAAAACTATAAGTTAAGCTAATTGCTGAGATTAGGCTCATCGAAACCTCGTCAATTTGGCATATGAGGTATACGAACATTCAAAATCAAAATTAGTATAGTAATAAGCTAAAAATGTTGGCATCTCTAAAGTTATTTAAATCTTTAATACTACCTTATTTAGAGTGATTACAGTTATATAATTGAATATTTAGTTTTAACAGTCAGTTTAAGGTTGTAACGTTCAAAATTAGAAACTATAAACCATATGAGACGACCAATATTTCTTGCCTTTGGCTAACCACATATAATACATCAATTCGAATCTACCAATCAGATCTGAGTTGTATTAATCTCAACATGACTTAAGGCAAAAGTTTAGTCTTATTTTTGGAAATTAAGTCGTTTTTACTTTGTTACGTAACAGTGTGAATGCTACAGATCACAAAATTCTATTACTTTTATGAAACATCTGGGTATTACCTTATAGTATGGTGAGAATATATTGTTATAAAATATTTCTAATAGTTATTCATTTGTTATAATTAACATTTATTTTTTATTTTTAAGTCGGTATTACTCTCTCTTGAAAGTATAGTGATTATTAAATTACTATGTTCACAATCATCTTAATGCCAAATTTGGAAGAACAAAAATGACCATTAATTCTAAGCTTGTTACCTTGAGCTTCACACGATAAAGATAGAAAAGCTCCGTCGTTGAATGGGCCAATAATTCCTTCGACTTTTTTCCCGTTTTCGTCCATAATAACAACATTCTTGGGAGGAACTGGAAACCATTTTACATTAGAATAAGTTAACATTATGTTATTTCAAACCCAACGTTATGTTATTTCAAACCCTTTCTTCCATATAACGACATACAATATTTTAGTCAGGTAACAATACACACACACACATACTAGAAAAGATAGTCGGTAATTCCAGCCTTAAAAAATAATATTTATTATAGTGCCACTCTCGAGTCCGTAACACATAATCCAATCGTACGGTGCAAAGGTGCCCGTGCTACTCGATTGGCGTGGGTTTCATGTACATTTGCTGTCCACCTCTTCACTTTGTTGAGTCCTCACTCACGGCATTAAAGGCGGTTTTCTTGTTGCTGTTTGTTTTAGAGCAAAGTAGCATATGGTTATCTGTTGTGTCCACCGCGGAGAATCGAACCACAACTTTTAGCGTTCTAAGTCCGTAAACTTACTATTGTCCTACCGAGGAACGCATTATTTAAGCTGTTAAAGCTGAAATTACTTCCAAATTCGGACGGTTCGTTCGATTGTATATTCATTTAAACATGACCCTTGGAACTTGATCTCTTTTTTTTTTTCGAAATTTCATCGCAACTGGTTTGTAGCACCAAACAGACGTGTTTTTAACACGATAATATATTGTCATTTTGCAAACAACATTTGCAGACTCACGAATAAAAAATAATAACTGAGAAATACTTCGTCTCTCGCTCTGAGCAATGATACAAGAAGAAAAATAAAATCGCGGTTTATCATAGGAATCATATTTATTATAGGCTGTGTATTTACTTTGAGCCATAAATATAAACAACCACATACAGAAACACACACATATATATATATGTGTATAGTTTATTTTGTCTAAGCTCCAACTTACTCAATCAGCAACTTGCGCCGCGATCACCTCATGGATAAACCCCACATTTTAGCCTTATAAACCCTCTAGTTCACCGCTTGCCGATCTAGAAGCTAAGTACAGACGGGCATTTAATTCTTAAATGTCGCTGAAACATCTGCTTCATATATATATATTACATATATAAACCGAATGAAAATATAATAAAAAAGTGTTGTTTGTTTTGTCTACCGCTGTCTACCAAAATTAATATCAAACTATCTTCAACTACATATATGTGAATCATTTCATGTTATTCAAACGAACCAGAAACGTACATGTTTTTTTTTCTCTCTAAACTATCCTAATCTTTATACAGCACTTTACGCCCCACAGTGGGTAAGCGACAGGTTTACAATCTTACACCGCTAAAATCTAGGGTTCGATTCCCCGTGGTGGAAGAGCGTAGATAGCCTAATATTTATAGTTTTACGCTAAAACAAAGAAGCAAACAAAATCAATACTTTATAGAGCTTTACTGAACTAATCGTGACTAAACCGAATTATTCCGAAATAGAAGTCACTGGTTCAGTAATTCAATAATCTTTACTCTCTTTCTTTTCTAATAGGGTTTCAGGTAAAATCGAGAATTATAATAATGGATATTGTTCCTTTTTGATATTATAGCTACATCCGAAACATTGTATCGTTTCGCAGAGTCAAAAAAGATGAAAAACAGACACATTTTATTACACCCCTGTACTATTAGGCTCTTTAGCGGAATTTCGGTTTCTAAAAATCGTAAAACATATAAAAATAAAATAAAAATATGACATCTTCTTTGAAAAATATGGTCTGAATAACTTCACTAAAGAAAACTGAGATTAGTTTTTTCTTTAATGCTAGATTTGTTCTTCAAATTGAACTTCCCAATTACCGACAGCGGAGTTGAACCGATAATGAGTTAAGACCTTTTTGAAACGCTAATGAGTTAAGCACTTTAGATTGATTATGCCTTTAGGTAGTTTCAAATCGGTGTGCAAATCAGATCATCATCTATCCATATTGTAGAAAACAACACTTGTTTTTAAATTTGGAAACTGAGTGATTCTTGAGTTTTGGTGTGTTTTTTTTTCTCTGTGAAACGCAAATATATAACGTGCAATAACATAATTCAACAGAACTTCACCAATGAATGGAAAAGGTCGTATACAAAATAGAAGACATTGCTGTGTCTTATTACCCTTAAAGTTCAATATTGATAATCCAATAGCGTTATATGAAGTTCCGTACAAGGTATGAATATAAAGTTAAGTTAAAAATAATTATTCCCAATAATAAATTAAATTTTTCATATTCTGAGTAACTATTTCGTCCAAATTCAATGTATATCGATATGTATACATATATGTTTATTTGTGTTATGCAATTAGAACACACTTTGTAAGTAATTAGATAGATGGTAGTAACTTTAAAATATTTCATACCTCAGTTACTGTTCTTGTGTAAGTTAACTGACTTTCGGATTAACTGACAAGAATAAAAGAGAAATTGGAAGGTACAAATAATACATATATAAACTTAGTATGAAACTGGCCGGGCGTGGTCCACTGATTAAGCAGGATTAATTAATCAGCAGGTTTAAGCCTCAAAGGACGATGTCACTGAGCACGCTTTTTCTTTCAGCTGTATGCGCGTGAGAAAAGTGGCAGTCAAACGTGCCATCCTATTTCAGGACAGTCCTATTTCATTTGGACAGTTAAAAATGAAGAAGGGTTATACCTGAAGCCTAGATGTCTCTGACATGACACGTGTGCATAAGGTGTTATTCAAGTTATAAATACCAAACAGTAAAATTTTTCATTGTCCTACAGTTTAGTTTTCTGTTTTGTAGGAGCTACAAATATGTGTTTCGTGTGCTACATTTAAACCGTAATAATATTATATTACGTTATTATTTATGAACACAATGTATACCAAGATATTTTTTAATACACCATCACACATGTCTAAACTTAGTCGGAATATACGAATAAAAATAAACAGTCATACTTGTAAATTCATAGAAAATGTATGTGTAGCACATAATTACACAATTTAACGCTTACATTTCTTGTGGACTGACAATATTAGGCTTAAGATCAGTTACTTATAGAACAAATATTATATCATTAATTTTATGAGAATATTTATGATTTTCACAGTTATTAATAGATACCAATTTAACGTTAGAATTTTCTTCGATTACAAATTACTAATGTTTAATCAACTGATACCATTATATGACTATCGATGTTGTATTTTTGAGTTTTAGTAACAACAGGCAAACCAATATACGGTAAAAAGTTTCCAAGCAATTCTGAAATGGAAGTAACAAAATCAACGAGATGATATTTTTTAATCTTATCAAAACTATTTTTATTTCAACGTGCACTATGCCTTTCTTATAACAGCAATTACTTTTGTCATTCACTCCATCTCAGTCTTCTTAAATGACT